TACAGTCGGGCTGTTGAAAAACCGTACTCCAAACATACACAGCGAAAAGGAACGGTAAAATGGACAAGATAACAGTGGTTTTGGTTCTCTAAAATCCATTTCCCAATATTCGTACCTAAATATCTCCCTTCGGTTCGCTTTGTTTTTGCGCTGACACCGTGCTTGATCTCACCCCTATTTTATTCGCTCCTGACCATTCATGTGCACTCACTTAGTCGTTCCGCCTATTTGTTTGTCCGTCGTACGACTAAACCGAACGAAAGTTCGCCCAAACTTACTACCTGCCTTTGTTTTCGGACTGATTGCAATAAACCATATCTATGAAAGCAAAATGGGGATTCCTGACACGTTCAAAACTAACTTGATTCCAATGATCTCGTAGCCAGCGCAAATGGAGTGCAACAAGCCACAACANCCTTTTTTCGTGGAATCACCACTCAAGTTGGTCGTCAAAATGGTGGGCACTGAACGAATTCTGGGACATGCGGATGTCCTGGAAACAAAGAAGTAGATAGATAACGCTTGAATACGAATTTTACAGAGAAAAAAAACAGATGTCTTACTCGCTGTTGAATGTTCGTGGTGTGAGTGAACAGAATAGTTGCAGAACTTTCACCGGCACTCGCGACGAATTGAACAAAATGCAGTCCTAAATTAAATCCTACCTGTCACTGAGTCAACAGCATTAAAACACGGAAAGTTTTGCTCACAGCAATAATTCTGTACAGACGTACGAACTGAATGAACATATGCCAGGTTTTGGTTAGTGGGACTAGGCGAGTTGGGCCCAGAAGGCATGACTAAAAGGTTCAGATTTCCAACTAGAAACCTTAATGATGACTATCTTTTACTTCTCATTTGACATACGACAGGGTGCTGCAGCCAACTGGTGGTCGGCAAAGAAAAAAGTAAAAAAGGGCAACGGTGTCTGGTTTCGAACTCACGACATGCAAGACGAGGGGTGGACGGTCAATACTGCCCGATCATTACCGCTCAAGTNTGTTTTAAATGCGCAATCTATTTTCCTTGAAACTATAAGCTTCTTCGTGATTGGAAGTGAACCAAAAGCATATTGTATTGTATTGTATTCAAGCTTTAGCGACAGCGTACAGCACATATGGCAGTAATATTAGAACAATTTGGTCCTAAAACCTCGCAAATAAGCACACAGGTAGCGAACAAACAACGCAGCCTCAGGACACAAAGGAACAAATTATTCCGACAGAAATATAGGAGTAAATAATGCGCACCCAAGGCCCGAGACAATCAGTTTCAGTTTTTACAGCCAATAACTATGCAATTTCGTGCGGTTGTCTTGGTTGCTGCGTTATAGCTTCCCGTCCGGATGATAAAGTGAAGGGAAGATGGAAATTTCCGAATCAGTTTCCGGGTGAAAAAGAGAATTCATGAAGACTATGAAGAAATAAATTAGGAAGATACAAGAGCACCGCTGTTTGCGACGCTCAGACATATCACTCAATGTGTCTAGCCGTTGATTACGCTGATCCTCATATCCTCATCCAAGAAGTCTAACACGACCTAGGTGAGCAAGTCTCCTGGTCAAAGGTTTTCATACCCTCATGCCAGGTGTGAGTTTCGCCACCCCTTGCCTTTCTACATCCAACACCTGCCTTAGCAAACAGCATGCGTAGTTCTCACCTATTTGGCGACAGGCGCAACACATGTTCCAACCAACGCAGTCTATGGAGATCGACCATTTGTTTTAGTGGGTGACCGCGGTCACCTAACATCAGCATTGCTGGTTAGCGGTGTTCAAAGTCCGACTGTCTTTCCTGTTTTCTTAAAGGACAAGTTTATGCGCCGTATAGCAGAACTGGTCGAACTACCGCGGCACACACTGGACCCTTCACGGACAGCCGTATGCTGCGGCACCACAGATGTCCCATGTTGGCTAGTGCCAACCGAACCTTCTGTATACTTCCAGACACTATCCATGATGCATCCACCTGGGTTGAATGTAGCTGCCCAAATAGTGAGAATAAGGTTGGGAGCTGAACCAACCCAGTCTTGTAGCACCTTTTTACATCTCGAAGGTGCAAAACACATGACTGCACTAGCAATCAAACTACCCAGAAAAGCTTGCAGCTCACCAGGATGTTCACTTAGTATAAGGTCGTTTGCATACTCGAGATCAGACAGTCTGCCATCTAGTAAATCGCTGTCAATATCTTCGGACGAGGAAAGGTGTTAGGTAAAAAGACTATTTTTACCTAAAACTGACTATTTTTCAAGTGTCTGCAATTCA